AGTTGATCCCGCCGTTGGTGTGAATGAGGTACCTCATTCACACCAACGGTGTTTCAGGGCCGGTTCGGAGCTGGAGTTTGAAAAGCACCGGGTTTTCCTCTTCACACCGCAGCGGAGCAGCCTCTTAGCTCCGGAATCCGGTTCGTTTCAAGCACCAAAAAATTGTCCGGCCAGAGCAACAGCACCACACGTCACGCTTACGTCGAGGCGGGGGCAGAGACAGATCAACTCCTGAAAAACAACAAAAAGTCCGCGTTTTATCCAGTTTGTACACAACGATGGAGAAACTTAACAAGAGTTTCAGTGTTTCTGCCATAGACTGTAAAGGTTTCTGCTCATGGTGAAGCAACGTGTCTGCGTGTTAAGGTGGAACCTGAGCATTCACGTTGACCACCTCTCATTATAAATCTATAAAACTATAAATATTAAACTTTACTTCACGTGTTCATTTGAGAACAGCTGTTAGGCCTACATACCTGGGTGAAGGTTACAGTTCATTTAAATGAAAGATACAACGTTACTCCACACTCATGGTTCCGTCCACCTTAAGAAATAAGACCGACCTCGGAAGTTGTGTTTTAAAAAAACCTTTATTGACACGAGTGCACTTTTTTATAAGAATATAATTAAACCACAGAAATGACTCCGGAAAAGCTGCAGATAGAGCCATAAGAAATGAATGCGTGCGGTTTGGCTTTATGAAGCAGGCACGCAAACGGTTACGTCATGACGCAAACGATGACGCAACGACGCATTACCAGTCGGACTCTGGGCGGTGTGAAAAGAGCCAGAGCTAAACCGAAGAACTGGTTCTGAACCTTAAAAGCTCTAGCACGGAGCTTGAAACGGAGTTGCGTTGGTGTGAATGAGGTATGAGAGGCTGCTCCGCTGCGGTGTGAAGAGGAAAACCCGGTGCTTTTCAAGCTCCAGCTCCGAACCGGCCCTGAAACACCGTTGGTGTGAATAAGGTACATGAGAACCTTTTCAGCCCCTGCTAGAGAGCAGGTACTTTCATGGGAGAAAAAGGTTCCCATCTCTGATTGGCTGGGCGGATTGCAAACCACGCCCCGTAAAACTCCCAAAAAGTTTTGTGAAGCCGCCATTTTATTTTCCTCGCATTAGCATTATTAGCATTAGCATTAGCCTAGCGCAAAAACGGAGAGAGACTAACTTATGGCAACACAAAAGAAAACATGGAAGCGGTGGAGATGAGGAGGTGTCTGCGTTTCTGGCGATTTACTATTCAGAAGCTGATGGGAAGACTCCCAGCAGCCTCTACTGAAGCCAGTCCCCAACTCCGGGGACTTCCGGCTGGGGACTTCGGGTGGCAGTATACGCTGAAGTTGTTTGCGGCCTGCCAGTAAACCCAAAGCAGAAGAAGAAGTGACGTCAGCGGCTTCATTTGCCTAATCCTCCCTCAGGGATTTATTCCGGTGTGAACACGATTTTAGTTCTAATGAACTAAGTTCTGATGAACTAAGTACGGCAAAGAGATTCAGGTGATAAGGGGGGTGTTACCTTGGATGGTGATTGGCTAATGCTACACAAGGCAAAAAAACATTATGACATCAAAGTGGCCAACATCTGATCAGCTCATTTTTCTGCAGGTTTTTATATAAATGGATCAGGACAAAAAGAGAGCAAATCTTTTTTCCTGAAACTTTCAGAATCTCTTTACACAGAGGATATACATATTTGTGTATAAAAGACATGAAAAAGTGGATTTTGCATAATAGGTGACCTTTAATGTTACATGCAATGGGATACAAAATAATGGCATTGGACTTAGTAGGCCTACAAGGAATATACAGTAATGTTAATATGATGGCATATTTTTCACATGGTTGAATATTGTGTATCTAATGTTGTATTGTGTACCTTGTTTTTAGTGCTAATAACATTTGAGCATGCTTCGGCAATCAATTAAGATAGTAAACATCAGCATGTTAGCATTGATATTGTAAGCATGTTAGCTTGCTGATGTTAGCATTGAGTACAGCCTGTAGACTCTTTTTTAGTTTCCATAAGAGCTGGTTACACTCCAAAGAGAGCAAGAGAGTTTGAGTTATGTAAAATACAAATATATTAGTTTTATTATAGTTATTTTAAGTTAAATTAAGTAACGTTGAATTCTCGAGGAAAACATTATTTTACTCGAAAACATCCACAGTAAACAAAAGAATCCAAAAACAGAGAACGTTTTTCATTTGAATTAAATGGGAGCTGCTTTTAACTTTGACTACTGTCAATGCGAAAGTGTTTTGAAATAGATACGTTTTAAAGTAGACCTGGATTATGCTGCCCAAAAGTGTGACAGTTTGTTTGAAGATATTTTGATATTGTTCTGCTGTTCCAAACGTGGCCCCATTTACGTCAAATCATAGAGAATTTTGTCAATTTCTTTAAAAAAAATTCTCTCTGAAGGTATGAGAAAAAAACTACATTTTCTTCAAGAGTTCAAGACAACACATTGTGTACAAATTATTATGTGTGGGGGAAGTAAGACCACTTCTAAAAAGGACTGATGTGCAAAAAAACTGCCCAAAATGTAACGCTTACTTCAGTGCATGATAGACAATTGCTAGCCTCCAAACTTTTCGGTGCAACGTTAAACTAAAGTTGAAGTGCATTAGGACAGAAAGGCTTCTCAGGGTTAACAGAGGCCTGCAGAGGAGCTTCTATCTCCTCCATCATGACGAGGATCCTGAAATAGATCTGCAGCAGCGCCTCATAATTAGTAATGAGAATGGCTCTGACAGTCCCAAGACGAAACGCAGTCCCACAGCTCCACAGCACCAGTGCCATAGTAACACAGCAGAAATACATTCCTTCACGGCTCCAGTTATGGTGCGATGCTTTGTCGTAAAATCAATATGAACACACCGAGCAGTTTCCAAACTGTGATGAAACATTTGTAACAAAGATCAAGGAGCTGTGGTCTGTTGCACAGGGTTGCAGGAGTTTCCAGGCACACAACCTGTTAACTATAAATGAGACAATGCTTTCATCAAGGCTCACAGAGAAAGGGTCGACATTGTCTTCTCTCTTTGAGTCATGATGAGAGTCTAGTCAAATAGTTTCTAGAGTTTTTTAATTTTTAAGATTGGGTTTCTTCTCTTAACCCTCTTTTCTGTAAGCACATGTGTGCCAAGAAAAAATGGCACACAAAATGTTGACTTGTTGAGTCAAAATCAGGAGATACTAGTTCAACAAATGACATATTTATTCAAAATAATAAAGTAAAGAATTATTATCCTTAGACAAAATGATGTATTATGTATTAAGAATGTTGACTTATGTGACTTATTAAGTATAAAGTGTTGTGTTAAGTCAAGACAATGTAAAAAGTGCAGACATAGTTATGTGATATGTAGTCAAAATGTTAACTTATTTAGTCAAAATGATGGGAAACTGAGTGGAACATATGTAAGTATTAAGTCAAAATTATGACACTATGTCAAAGTGATGTGAGCCGGGACTAAATAGTTAGTTATTACATTGAGATCACGTTAAACAAAGTAAAAATATCGACGTATCAAGTCAAATGTACAGTATGTCATACTTGTTGACCTTCATAAGTGAAATCCTTGTCGTCACGATGATGTGTAGTCGCAATGTTGTGTTGTGACCATAGACTGTATAGGTTGTGACATCTAATGACTGCATGTCAGTGTGTTATTTCATGTCCATGCGGTGTGTTTTCCTTTAATTATTAACGGTTGGTAATTGCAGAGATTGCAGACAGATGCTCTCCTGCAGAAAAGGTCAAACAGTTCACAAAGGTCAGAAAGGAATTTACAAATCTGACGGCTTCTTGCAATGAAGAGAAACACAGGAGCAGACAGATGTGGCCTGGTGTTTGACAGGAAGATAAACTGCTGCACAGAAAGGGTTCAAATCATTTGGTCAGAGTACATTATCAACATATCACACATCCATAAAGACAACATATGGGCTATTTGTGTGTGTGTGTGTGTGTGTGTGTGTGTGTGTGTGTGTGTGTGTGTGTGTGTGTGTGTGTGCAGCTCACCCTCTGCCCTACTTTCTGAGTGATGATGCTGCAGAAAGGAGGAGGAGAGGGAATATCCCACAATGCCACACTGCTCATCCCATGGGCCAGATGGAAGGACAGACAGACGGATAATCTTATAGATGGATGGATGCTGCAGTTACAGTCCGCACACACTGAACGTGTTAATTGTCACCGCCCTCAGAGCAGCTCGCTCTTTGGCAGTTTTTAAAAGCTGCCATGTCACACGAAAATCAGACACCCAACTTCCGGTCACTAATGATAAAATAAAATCATTTTTCAGACAAGCTTGAATTGTGTTTATCCCAGTGCAAATATGCCATATCAGTAAAAAGCCAATCTAAAATATACTGTACACGAAGGCAACATTTTAAAAGAGTAAATTATTTTATTGTCCATAATGAAGGACATAATATCCCATTATAAACATTATGACAAGTCAGAGAGTTGTAATTATAATAATTGAATATCATATTGAAGTGTGTGAATTTATAACCTCTGTAAAAGTGTACATTTAATTAAACACCTTTTATTTGGTAATGCTATTATACATTACAAATCTGCCGGATAATCACAAGGTTAAAGTTGCATTCATATAAAAACTAAAGTGCTCCCATTGTATATTTTACATTTATAAACTACCGTTTTAGCATGATGTAAAAAAATGTATGATAGATTTATGAATTGAAGTATGACAACAAATCCAACAAATAGATAAACCAGAACACAATAAAATGTATACAGTATGTAATAATTGTAAAATAGCAATATTTACAAAAAAGCTGCATTGTGTAATGGAAAAATTCGAATAGATTCTCACTTCATCCACAACCATTTTATTCAGAAACATTAGCTATGTTTTGCCTGTTCTGAAACATCTTCTTAACAGCTGTACATTTATTTTTTGGAAAGCTTTTATTGTGAAGGATATGAAGCTGCACTTCCTGCCTTACGTTTCTCAATTGATGTAGCTCGCTGGCAGTTGGTTTGGTGCTCGTGAGTGCAATTCGGTCTGTTGTCCAGGGCGACCGTGCCTGGCTGCAGTATATAAAGGGGGTTAACGGTCAAAAATCAAAACGGTCAAGCCGCTCAAACACGTTAACGGGGTCGTATTAACTCCCCCCGTAACCGCTAAATCCTCCGCTCCTCCACCGGCACCTGTGTACCCCCACAAGCCGTGAGAGAGGGGGTCCAGAGCGGGGGGCAACACAGCCAGGACCGACCGGCATGGACCCCCAAGCTAAGAGTCGACCCGGCCCGGGAGGCTTCAGCGGTCGCCTGGCCTCTCTGGGAGCTGACGGGGGAGACTCGGAGTCCGGAGCCGGTTCAGAGGAAGCTTCCGTGGGCTGCTGCAGCGACACATTCAGCACTCTGCCCGACATCGAGCAGGACACACTGGAGGAGAAATTAAGAGGACTGGCGTTCAGAAAACAGACCTCGTATCGGTGAGTGGGGAAGCTGGGAGGATGCTGGGACAGGATACTGCTCATGTTGGTCTGTTATGAATAAAGCTAGCACCCATGTTTATTTTATATAGCTAAGTGATATGGTAAGAGTGACATGCCAGTTAGCCTAAGCGTAGAAACACAACACAGAGACACAAAGAGAGTGAGGGATTACATTAGAGGTTATTCATATTTTTCTTGCTGAATTCACATGTTTTGGTATGGTAGCTTGTCAGGGCTAGCCACGTTATTGTCTTGCTGTTCACATCCTCAACATGTCATTGATACACACAGCAGCAGCAGCATTTAAGCTCATGTCAGTGATGAATCAAAACAATTTGGCTAAAACATTGTGTGTCTCTTTGTGTGTGTGTGCATCTCCCTGTGGTGTTGTAGCCATGTTGTGATGGAGCATGTGAATAGGGGGGAGGGGGAGTATTGCTTTTGGGGAAATATGTGTGTGTGTGTGTGTCTGTTTGTGTATGTTTTATGAGTGTGTATGCGTGTGTGTGAATGCCAGCAGCAGCCTGACACCCTGGTGCGACTGGCAGCTGCTGTTGATAGTGAAAACTGGCCAGAGACCAAACACACACACACACACACACACACACACACGCACGCACACACACACACAGCCGTTTTAGCTGTCAAATGTCACTGTCAGGAATGTGTGGCATCTATCTGTCTGCCTGTCAATGTGGTCTTTGATTGTGGCTCTGTCTCTCCTAAAAGGATCTGTATTTGGAGGTCAAATCTAAGATGTTAACTGGTTTGTGTCACATTAACTAGTTGATATTTGGTTGTTTTATTTAGGTAACTGTGGCAAGTAAATCAACAGTTTAAGTTACTATAATCTGCGAAATTCAATCAGCAATTCAATATTCATTGATTGAGCATATAGCTGGTCTATTTTCATGTTTATTTATGCACCTTGATTTGAATTTTTTTTTCTCTAATTAGTTTGATAAATTTCACAAATTAATTTGATTAAAAACAAGAAGGTATAAGCTTTACATGAAGCCTTTTTATTTCACGAGTAATAGACGTCTCGATCATATTACATACGTTTCTTACACACTTTAAAACTGAATAAACAGACCTTTTGACAGGGAAAGTCTTCCTATTTAATCTAGGGATGTTACTGTATAATCCTATTTGGCAGATAACGATTTGTCTGTTTCATTATTTAGTCTTTTGAAACACCTTTGAGCTACAGTAAGGTACTGTAAGGCAATTACTTTACCAAGGTTATCCTCATTTTTATTGTGCCGTCATTTAGAGAGTTTCACTTCCTCTGTGTGTTTCCCCAGGGGAACCGCTTTGGGTTAAGTGAGGGTTCCAGGAGATAGTGCATCATCATGAGTGCCACAGCTGGTTCACTCTCTATTTTATAACTGCAGGAGTAGTTTGTTCTGATTCATCTGTTTCCTCCGTCAAAGAAACCCCGCAGATAACTGCTAAAGGGATGGATTTGGTCAATTGTGCATGTCAAATCTATGTCATCTGGAGTAAAGGATGATCATCTGACCCTCGTCATATGTGCTGCAGAGTTTCACCATGAGGTTTCATTACTATATCAACATAAATTCAAGAGATGAGTGAGACATTTGGGACGTGTAAAGGTGCACTGATCAATCTTAAGCTGCAGAATACTAACTGAAATATTAAAATCCAGTCAAATATTAATGTTCGAAAAGGTTCTTATTTGACTGGTTGGGATGCTGTTAGCTATGCTTCCGACATTTTGAATTAGTTTTGCGTGCATGATGGAGGCAAAACGATTTTGGTTTAGCCCCTTAAAAGCTTTTTAAGGGGAATACATTCGTTAGGTTGCCCTTAAAGATGCTGGTACAGCTGCTAGATCTGTTTGAATGTGTGCAGCCGAGCAGCAATACACCTCAAGATAACTACCCCTTTCTTGCAAATATTTAGACGAGCACAAAGAAACCGCTCTCAATCTGTTCAATACAAATGAAGCTACAACTGGTAGACTGTGCTTAGCATGAAGACTGGAATCCGTCCAAAGATAAAAGCAACACATCTGTAGCTCACTAATTGACACGCTGTATTTGTTTAATCAGTGGTTTGTGGTTGTGGTTTTACAGGACGTTCGTTATGTGCTGGACTATTTATTTGTACTCACTGGTTGCCTAGTAACATCACAATGACTTCAATGCTCTATTGAAGATGTCCTAATCCTTTCCTAAACTTCAGTCAGATATTCAGTTAAAAGTGCTGCACTTCATTTAACGCTCAACCCACGTTTCTGTGGGTTGAAGCTCTTTAATTCTCATATTTATATGTATACTGATAGAAATGGGATTGTTAGTAAAAATGACAGAATAAATATAGGAGGTACTGTACTTCACAAGAACAATGAGGCGGCAACCTTATTTTCCACCCATGTCACCCTCAGCTCTGTAGCCTTTCCCAGTGATGTATCTCAGTGCTGGTGTACTGTAAACGGCTTCGTTGGAAACCCCCACTTGGATTCATTCCATTTGGAAAGAGAACATTTTGCTCATGAAACAAAGTGCAGCCATTGTTCACTATTATTGTTAAAAAATAAATGTGTTTGAGTGAATACAAGAGGAACCTCTTACGATTAATGAAGTTTTTGTTTCACCATTTAAAAGAAAGGACTGTTTTCTGGTAGAAACAAGCGTCTGGCTTTATTTGTAATCCTCCACTGTGTGCTAATTGTATGGACTCGATGAATGCAGTCTGGTGCTGTTATGTCAAATAGATCTTCTTTCTTGCACTTCTCTTCTATGTATAACAGTTGCATAGACACGCAGTAAGTCGCCATGCCTTGTGTTGTTTGACCTTTGGCCTCATTGGATAAAGCTATGTATAATCTATGCATTTCCCTCTTCATGGGATCAGCCATGTGGAGGAAATGGCATTAGCCGGTGGGAAGATGGTTTGAAGGAAGGTAGTTTACATAGCTTTGAAGTGGCCAGTGCCAAGGAGTGAATTACCATATGTGGTGATATGAAAGAGCTGAGAAATGATGACATTGAACATCAAAGGCAGTGTGTGTGCGCGTGCTTTTGTGTTTATGGCAGCGTAAAGCACGTGCAATTTATCTGCCAGACATTCGTCACAATTGGTGTGTGTGTTCCCAGAATACTGTCCCTCCTTTTGATCTATTATTAGACGTCTCACCCGTCCGCCTGTATGACAGTCAGAAAGACAGTTGCTTTGTGTGTCATGCGTACCAGTTAGTCAGCGCGACACATAGTCTGTATGACATTACATCAATTAGCTGCTCATTCAACCAGCCGGACTCTATCTGTAAGTGAGTTAGTGAGTCACAAAGTGCTTTTTCTAGGCACTTCCTGTCTGTGACTGTCAGCTGGTCAGCATTTCACTTAGGTTAACCTTTCAGCTCACCAGAAAGGGAATCATCCAGTTCTGTAAATGTCCAATGTTAATAGGGCTGCAACTATAACTGCCTATTATTTTCTTAGGTTCATCGAGTGATCATTTTGTCTTTAAAATAGAGAAAACATTGAGAAGTGTCCTCAAAGCCCAAGGTAATGTTTTGATCTGTGGATCCAAAACCCAAAGACATTACTGTGAGATTATGTCAATAAGTAGGAAATAAAGTACAATAAATAAATGAAGCAGGACATCTATTTTAAGGGGCTTTAAAGTACATTGTTTTGCATGAAAAACCGATATAATAAATAGAATAGTTGGGGGTTCTTTATTTCTGTCGATCTACTTATCAATTTCAAATCTATATGGGCATTAATGTAACTCTTGCTATTAGATGCTCTAGATTCCTACTTCAATAATAGACTAAACAATTAAGCTGTGGTTGCAAATCAATAGTCTAGAATGGGTGGTGAGCGGTTGTTTCCTTTCTTTGTCTTTTTGTTCGTTTGCACACACATTTATTTTCCCACTGCCAACTCTTCACTGTAAAGATACACATTTGATCCAAACGAATTCTCCTGGCAGACCAACACTCGGACCATGACTCTGCTGGGTAAACATGCCACCATGACCTGTTTGCCCAGGAGGGAAATATACAATGAAACAAACACTATGTTTCACCAACCAGCTTCTCATGTGGTGAGATTTCACCACCGCCATCTTGGGGAAACAATGCAGAAACAAACTGCCACAAGACAGGATGTTGTAACATTATCCTCCACTATTTACAGCCCACTTCACAAACAGAAGATCACAATACACGCTTGTCCAATTGACTTGGGGTTTCATGTCCTCTGAGGCCAGGGGACAATATATACAGCAGGGACAGGGAAGAAAGACTGGAGAGACATGAAGAAGGGGGGAAACATAAAAAGATATGAATGTATCTCATGTTGCTACCACTGTGCACCACCTGCAGGGGTAAACAGTGATCAAAGGCCTTTCATCATGGGATGCTGGCAGAATGTAAAACTCTTTCCAGCCTTCAATTAGGATAAAAGACGGAGAGCAAAGAGAGAAAGATGGGCAGAGAGGGAAGAAGGAAATGTTTGAGACAAAGTCAAAGGTATGTGACGATTTGAGAGAAAGGAGAAATAGCGACAGATCTGCGCTGACAAATTATAAATCAATATTTGTATTACTCAAGAGAAAACTGATACTGTAGGTTGAGGAATAAAACTCTCAAACGCCAGAGCCTTTATCAGATCTCATAGGCGTACTTACCTTGAGGCTCTTAAAGGTACTTGTGCATTTTGTATCGGGTGATCGTCTTTCATATAAACAACCTACACGGGTTAATAACCTAAAGCAAAACATATATTTCAATTTGAGAAACCTCGGTGATGCCATGCTGCTTACAGTAATTGTCTAACCGAGCAGCTCATCAAAGTGCAGAACAATAGCATCGTTTTCCCCCTGGGGAAATTAAGTTTAGAAGGCCAATCCAGAATAAAACACTCATTATACACAACAGGGAACAACGTTAATACACTTAGCTCATCACAGGGAGTACTCACATATGATCTTTTAACATCCAAGCACCAAAAGTAAATATG